TGAACCCCATACAGAATCTATGGGGCATTGTCAAGAGAAAGATGAGAGACATGAGACCAAACAATGCAGAAGAGTGGAAGGCCGCTATTGAAGCATCCTCAGCAGTGCCACAGGCTGACAGCTTCCATGCCACGCCGCATTGAGGCAGTAATTGCTGCAAAAGGGGCCCAAACCAAGTACTGAGTACATATGCATGCTTATACTTTTCAGAGGTCTGATGTTGTTCTATGTACAATCCTTGTTTTATTGATTACATGTAATATTCTAATTTTCTGAGATTGTGGATTTGGGGTTTTCATGAGCTGTAAGCCATAATCATCACAGTTATGACAAATCAGGGCTTGAACTATCTTGCTTTGCATGTAATGAGTGTATCTCATGTATTAGTTTCACCTTTTAAGTTGCATTACTGAAATAAATGAACTTTTGCACGATATTCTAATTTTTTGAATTTCACCTGTATAATGAGAGTCTCTTGTGAGTAAAAGGAGGCGAGTGGCTGCCTTGACCACGGTTTTCTTCCTACTTTCTGGGATCTCCTGGTGGCCTCCCATCCACGCAGATTAATTCCTTTCTGAGCTTCTGGGAAACAACCCCCCCCCCACACTTTCCTTTTTCAATTGGGCCCTGAAGGCTGTCTCCTCCAGGGGGTGCCCTTTGCCCCTTGTACTGGCCAATAAGAGGTGGGAGAGGGGGAAGGGGAGGGCTTCCCTACGCCTTTCTTCATCCTTTCCCACAACCGACCCTCTCCCGGGCTAGAAAATCCCCTCCCCCCCTTAAGAATAGTTTTCCAATATATCCAATATAATTATATCTTGGCCACCCTCTCAGTTCCACCGTGACTCATTGATTTCTCTGCAATCTCACCCCAGATAACAAATAACAGAGAATCAGAGATGGAAGGGACCTTGTAGGTCATCTAGTCCAATCCCCCCCACCCCCGCCAAGCGGGAGACCCTACCCCATTTCTGACAGAAAGCAGTCCAGTCTCTTCTTTTTTAAAAAAAAAAAATTATTTGAGTTTTCACAAAGAGGAAAAAAAAATACAAATAAAACATCTTTTTTTGAAAGTAGCATAATCTCGGGTTACATTTCTTCATACAGACACAAATTCAGGTTCATGCTCATTTTTATATTCTATTCCATATCTTATTACTATTTTACATTTTCTGCATAGCTTCTCCCCTCTGTTAATTTTCTCAATTTTATTTTAATTATCTCACCTCAATTCAAATTATTGTATTTATATTTTTTGTCTGTCCTGTTTCAATTATCTATTATCTTTTCTCATTAAACAAAATTTCTCCTGTAGTTACTAATTGGAGTATGACGCCTTTATATCTTTTCCCTAAAGTTGTAACATTCAAGATAATACATAACTTCCATTCGGATTCTGCTTGGTACATTCTTAAAATACACACTGTATTCTTAAAAAAAGAAAAAATTATAAATGTATAATATAATTAAAACAACATTCCATTCCAATTCAATTCTATCATTAATATTAATATTCATTAATATCTTAACATCTTTAACATTACTTTTCAATTAATTATCTTACATATATGTGTGGGATCATTATATTTGCATAGTTAATTCCCCCCCTCTTCACTTATATTTTATAAAACATTAACTAATTAAAATGTTCCCGTTCCTTCCTAATTCAATTTTCTCATTTATTTTATTTCACTTATTTTATTCACAAACATTTCACTAAATTACACTATTTTATCCCTCATTTTAATCATACGTTGTTTCCAATTTTCTAAAGTTATTTCTATTACTAATATAACAATACAATCTTATGTACCTTTACAGAATCCCTTTTTCAGTTAGATTTTCACCCATTATCTCTAAATAGGTCCTGTTTCTCTATATCTTGCTCCAGTCCGTTGTAACTTCTTTTCCTTTCCTTCTTCCCTCTCTTCTTCTCTCTCCCCTTTTTACCCACTTGTTTCTCTACCTCTATTTCTCTCTTCTGTATTCCCCTTTTCTGTTGCTTTCCAGTATTATACTTATTTTTTGAATTATTTTTCTTTTCTTTGGTTGTTGTTTTAAGTCTTAAATTCTCCATTCTCTTTCCCCCCTTTCCTTTTTCTTCTCCACATAAAATTGCTTGTTCATTAAAAATGGCTTCTTCTTTGTCCCAGTCTTCTTGTTTTGCAGTCTTTTCTTGTTGTTTCTCATAGTTCCAAATCTCCATTTCTAAGAATTGAAAAACGAAGCCAAAATAACCCTTCCCTTCTTGTGCATCTTCTTTGTACTTTTCAAGTTCCATTTTCAATTCATCCAGAAGTGGTGCCATTGTATAAATTTTTAAACAACCACCCGATTGATTTTAGTCATTCAAATATAATAACCAAGAATCCAAAGATCACCAAATAATCCAAATACACACAAGCTGCTTCTTTTTTGCTCTTTTTTTTTCACTTTCTCTTCCTGGGGTTACTATTTAGTTGCAAAGTTTCAGTTAAAATGTATCTTTTAGAAGTCTTGTTGAAGTTTTACTGTAGATTCTTTTTAATTCCAGGCAGTCTCCTCCCTCTTCCAGATCCTGCCCTTATTCTTTTTCTCTCCCTTCCTGCTTCTGAAAAAGAAAATTTTTAATGTCCAGAAATCTTTATTATCCCTTTGGGATTTTGTTTTATTTTCAGCTTAATTGCCTATTGATGTCAAAGCGGATTTTTCCGATTTCTTATTTAAGTCTCTTAGTTGTCAGTATAGGGAAGGAGAGAGAAGGAAAAAAATAGCCAAACCTTTCCCTTTTCACTTTCCTTCGCTGCTTCCGACTCTTCTTTGGGAGCGATGTTATTTTTTGTAAGTTTAAATTCCAGGGTACCTTAGTTGTTCCTTTTACAATTTAACCCGGTCAGCCAAAACTTTCACTTCTTATCTTCCTCCTGCACATTCTTTTCTGGTCGAGTTCTTCTTTGTGGTGGCCATTTCTGACCACCTCTGCAACCGCCTTCAGGAAAGGGAGTAATGGCCAGCTGAGGAGGAGAGATGCGGCTCTCCTCAACCCTGCTGGCAGTCTTCCCCCTCTTCACCACCTCTACGGGGTGGCTTAGCCCCGAAACCAGCTGGGTCGGGGCACTCCAGCAGCGAGCCCAGACAGAAACCACGCACGATCATGGATTTTCTGTCTGTCGCCGAAGTGCTTCAAACCGGAAGTCCCAGCAGTCCAGTCTCTTCTTGAAAGCCTCCAGGGATGAAGCTCCCACAACCTCAACAACTAAATCCATCCTTAATAGATTAAGAGAGTTGGAAGGGACCCTAGAGGTCATCTAGTCCGACCCCCCATCCAAGCGGGAGACCCTACCCCATTTCTGACAAATGGCAGCCCAGCCTCTTCTCGAAAGTCTCAAGTGACAGCGCTGCCACCACTCCTGAGGGCAAGCTGTTCCAACCCGCTTGCCAACGTCCTGCTGCCCTCCTCTTTGATCTCAACTTTTGGGGCGGGGGTCTCTCTTTGGTGGGGGCACCGACTAGGGCCCCCCTCCCCTTTAAGGCTTCCCCTGGCGTTTGCACGTGGCCAAATCCATCGTGATTTTTTGCACTATTCTCCGGAGTGATTGAGGGGTCTCTGCTGTTTGAATCCCCCTCCCCAAAATATTTTGCTTTTCTCCTTGGGAGGGGAGGCTGTGTGTGCCCCTGCCCCATATGTTTGCCCCCCTCCCCACAAAAAGAGGAGCCCTGGCCCAGCGCAGAACTCTCACCCCATCCCCAACGGATTGCGCATCGCCGGCTGCAATCCTTGGCTTGCGCGCCCGCGGCGGGGCGTGGGGGCAGCACGCCCCCTCCCCAAAAGCCGGCTGGCGTGTGACGGGAGTCCTTCTCCTTTCCGGCCACCCTCCTCCCTTCTCTCCCTTCCCTTCCCTCCCTCCCTCGCAGCTTCTCCTTGGCTCGCAGGCTGGCAGCGCCACCGGAGTGCCAGCACCTTCCTGGCACACCCAGCTTGGCCAGGGTCCCTCCCTCGCCTCCCTTCCCTCCCACCCCGCGGCTCAGCCCTTCTCTTGAAGGACGCACCAGGGTCTCCTCTGGCTTTGGCCTCGCCAGCCCCTGCGCAGCGCAGCGCAGCGGACGCCGCATGGATGGAGGGCATGCGAGGCTCCTTCTCCTGCTGCTCCTCCGCCCGGTTTGAACCGAGAGCCGGCAGCCGCCGGCTTGGAAGGACCGGGGAAGGGCTTCCCGGCGTGGCCCGGATCGCGGGGGGGAGGAAGACGAAGGCCACGGGGAGCCGCGGGCCTCCGGCGCCCCTCTAAAGTCGGCTTTTGGGGAGGTGAGGGGGGGCACTCTGCGCTCGCCTGCCCGACTTTAACCCCCCCACCCCACCCGCAGGCGGGAAGGAAAGGGGGGGCATCGTTTCGACAAGCTGATGGGGCTTGGTAGCTGAAGAGGAGAGGAAGAGGAGGAAGAAGAAGAGGTAGACAAAGAGGAAGGAGGTAGAGAAGGAGGAAGAGGAGGAGGGCGAGGGTCACCCCTTCCTTGACCGCGAAGCTTGCTAGCGTCCGCCAGCCCCTCCGGATGGGGCAGGCATGGCCGCCTTAGCCAGCTCCCTGATCCGGCAGAAACGGGAGATCCGCGATCCGGTCGCCAGCCGGCCGGTTTCCACCCAGCGGAAAGTCTGCCCGCGAGGGACCAAATCCTTATGCCAGAAACAGCTTTTAATCCTCATTTCCAAAGTCCGGCTCTGCGGGGGTAGGAAAGGCCGGCTGGAGAAACCCCCAGGTGAGTGAACTGGGGAGGGGAGGGGGAGGAGGGAAGAGGGCCAAAAGGGAGGGGTCCCAGGTGGGTGGTGAGCATGTGGCCAAGATGCTTGGATGCTTAAAGGTGGTGGGTTCTGCTTTTCCCCAGCGGGCACCAGCAGGTGGCACTGTCTAAAGCTCGCAGGCCCTTTCCAAGGGTTACCTGCAGGGGGCGCTCGATCGAGTTGGGTTTCAATGGATTAACTTTTGGGGGCGGTCTCCAACCTTGGCCCCTTTTAAGGCTAATGGACTCCAACTCCCAGAATTCCCCCAGCCAGCTTCGCTAAGACTTCAACTCTATGCCTGCTTTACTCTCTTGTCATCCCTTCCTCTGTGATCTCTCCACTCTAGGTAATAGGAGAGGGAAAAAACAATAGGGATGGTTGAATAGGGAATTCTGGGAGTTGAAGTCCACAAGCCTTAAAGTTGCCATGGTTGGAGACCCCTGATTTAAGACTGGTGGACTTCAACTCCCAGAATTCCCTGGCCACCTTCGCTAAGACTTCAACTCTCTGCCTGCTTACTCTCTTGTAATCCCTTCCTCTGCAATCTCTCCACTTTAGAGCAGAAGTCTCCAACCTTGGCAACTTTAAGGGTGGTGGACTTCAGCTCCCAGAATTCCCCAGCCAGCTTTGCTAAGACTCCAATTCTCTATGCCTGCTTACTTTCTTGTCAACCCTTCCTCTGCAATCTCTCCGCTCTAGGAAGTAAGAGGAAAACAACAACAGGGATGGTTGAATGGGGAATTCTGGGAGTCGAAGTCCACCAAGTCTTAATGTGGCCCAGGTTGGTGAACCCCTGCGGAGGCACTTGGGGGTGCCCCAGGGCACACGGCCTGGCACTGTTGGTTGTGTGGGTGTGTAGGAAGCAGGGTGGGAGGTTGTTGTGTGTTGCGGTGGACAAGGGCTATATGTATATTCTTAAGGACGCCCCTTTTGTGGGGTGCCACAAAAGTTTTTGATTTGGGGGGGTGCATGGGGGGTGGTGTCTGCAGGGTCCCCTGTTGACCAAGTGTCTTTTTGCAAGAGAGCTTTGTGTGTGTGTGTATGTATGTATGTGTATGTGTGTGTATGTGTGTGTGTAAAGACAACCCCAAATATGGATCCAAGATTGGATTTGCCGTTTTTGTGCTGTTTTGTCGGGTTTTTTGGGAGAGTGTTGTCGTTGAGCAGGCCTTGGGCGTTTGGGACTCTTACTTGGAGGTGGATTATTTCCCAACTGGGGGTTGTTCTTTCGAGGGTCGGTGGGCAGGTGGGCCCTCTGGAAGGGGGGATTGGGGGGGTGCCTTAAAACCTGTTGTGGGCATTTCCACTCCCATGGGAAACTCTAGAAGCCCCTTCCTGCCACAGTTAGTGGGGGGAAGGGTGTCTCTTTACTCATTTCCCCTTCCAGGAAATGGAGAAAAGGTTTGGATGGTCTCTAGGTTGCCGGGCCGGTCATGGTTGGGCCCTTTCTCCGAATTTTCTTCCTTTCTTACATCTTTCTCTCTGTCCTTCCTTCCTCTCCCCCCTTCTTTCCTTCCCTCCCTTCTTCCTTCCTTCTCTCCCTCCTTCCCGTCTTTCCTTTTTTCCTTCCCTCCCTCCCTCCTGTACTTCTTTCCTTCTTTCCCTCCCTCTCACTCCCTTCTTCCTTCCTTCCTTTCTTTTTCCCTCTCCTTCCTTCCCTTCCTTGCTTCCTTCTTTCCTTACATCCCTCCCTCTCTACCTTCTTTCCTCACTTCCCTCCTTTTCTCACTCCCTTCTTTCTTCTCTCACTCCCTTCTTCCTTCCTTCCTTTTCCCCCTCCATCTCTTCCTTCCTTTCTCCCCTTTCCTCCCTTCTCCTTTTCTCACTCCCTTCTTCCTTCTCTCACTCCCTTCTTCCTTCCTTCCCTCCCTCCTTCACTTCTTTCCTTTCCTTCTTTCCCTCTCTCACTCCCTTCTTCCTTCCTTCCTTTTCTCCCTCCATCTCTTCCTTCCTTCCTTCCTTCCTTCCTTCCTTCCTTCCTTCCTTCCTTCCTTCCTTCCTTCCTTCCTTCCTTCCTTTCTCCCCTCCTTTCCTCCCTTCTCCTTTTCTCATCCTTCTTCCTTCCTTCCCTCACTCTCTCACTCCCTTCTTCCTTCCTTCCTTCCATTCCCCCTCCTTCTCTTCCTTGGTTATGTCCCTCCCTCCGTCCCTTTCCTCCCTTCCCTCCTTCTCTCACTCTCTTCTTCCTTCCATTCTATTCTCTTCCTTCCTTCTTTCCTATTTCCTCCCTCCCGCCCTTCTATTCCTTTTCTCTCTCCTTCCTCCTTTCCTTTCCTTCCTTCCTTCCTTCCTTCCTTCCTTCCTTTCTTTTTCTTTCTTTCTTTCTTTCTTTCTTTCTTTCTTTCTTTCTTTCTTTCTTTCTTTTCTTTCTTTCTTTCTTTCTTTTTTCTTTCTTTCTTTCTTTTTCTTTCTTTCTTTCTTTCTTTTTCTCTCCTCCCTCCCTATTTCCTTCCTCCTTCCTTCCTCCTTCCTTCCCATTTCCTTCTTTTTCTACCCTTTCTCTGTCTCCTTCCTCCCTCTCTCCCTCCCTCCCTCCCTCCGTCCGTCCCTCTGGCTCTTGCCGTTCCCTTTGAGTCCTCCTCCTCCTCCTCCTCCTCCTCCTCCTCCTCCTCCTCTCCACAAACCCCTCTCCCTTCTAGCACTGATGATGTTCCCTAGTTGGGTCATGAAATGTCTGCCCAAAAAACCCCCAAGTTCAGAAAGCATTTTCCTTCCTTCCTCCCTCCCTCCCTCCCTCCCTCCCTCCCTCCCTTCCTTCCTCCTTTTCCTCCTCCCCCCCCCTCCTCTCCTCCAGGCTTGCTGCCTGCTTGAGGGTCTAGCCAGCTGGCTCAGCAGAAAAAGTCCAGATAAATAACCCTTAAGTGATGGCAGAGAAGGGGGGGGGATGAGGGGGGCAGCTGGAGCCCTTTCAGGTGTTGGAAGAGAGAGAGAGCCAGAATGGCTATCAATTTTAAAGGTCCCTAAAGGGAACTCTGGCTCAGCCGTTTGGGGGCAATTGTGGGCACTGCCATAACCCCCATCTGCTTCTCCTCCGGAGGGGGAGGGACCACCAGGAAGGCTGATTAGCTGAGAGGGAGGCCCCCACCTCTCCTCTGGGGACCTGGCCCATTTGCCAAGGGGGCCGGGGGCACGGGGGAGAAGGATTGGGGGGGTGTCTCCCCTTAGGCCCCCAAGGCTGCATTTCCTCTTGGGAGCTCAAGGTCCCTGGGTGGGCAGCCATGGCCCCAAGTGGGGGGGATTCTGATGGGAATCAGGCATTGCGGGGGGAAGGTCTGTTGAACCTCTGGAAGGCCCATGGGATTTGGCTGGGTTGGAAACTACCAAATGAAAGGAGAATAGTTGTAGCTCAGGGTTGAAAGAAGAAGGGCTCCTTCGTTGTTTTCTTGCAGACGTTTCGTGACCCAGCTAGGTAACGCCATCAGTCTGGGAAGGGGGGACAGATCCAGCTGCTAACTGAATCCAGCTCGACTCTGAAGCAAAACAGGAAGAGGAAACCCTTTTCCCCTAAATATTAGAACCCAGGCACAGGTGGGGTTTGACATCACCTCACGTACGGAAAAGGGAGAAGGGGTTGAGTTGTAGGGGAGGGGCACACTGCCCCACCCACCCACAGGGGGCACCACCCTTGAGGGACATCTCCCTTGAAGGGCCTGTGGTGAAGACCCCTCCCCTCCCTCCCTGCTGAGGCTTCAACCCTCCTTCCATCACCACCCCAGGCAAGATCGATCTCTGAGTGGTCCCCTTTCCCCCCCCCCCCCCAATCTCTCCACTGAGACACCACCGTTCCGATCTGTGGAAAGAGAATTTCGTTGTCCAAAAACACCCCCCGCAACCCAAGGAGCAAAACTGAGGAGGGGGCACCCCTCATTTTTGCATGAGGGCAGCCTGGAGACAGGCACCAGCTTAGCATCAGAAATGGGGTAGGACCTCCTGATTGGGTGGGTGGGGGTTAGACTAGATGACCTATAAGGTCCCTTCCCAACTCTGGTATTCCTTCCTTCCTTCCTTCCTTCCTTCCTTCCTTCCTTCCTTCCTTCCTTCCTTCCTTCTTTCTCCATCACTTCCCTTTCTCTGCTTTCTTTCAGAAATGGTATAGTCTCGTGCTTGGGCGGGGGATTGGACTAGATGACTTATAAGGTCCCTTCCAACTCTGATTATCTGTTAAATAGATAAATATCTGTTAAATCCCAAAGGTGGCCTGGAGACGGGCACCAGCTTGGAATGCATTCCGAGCTTCAGGCGCCCTCAATTGGGAAGGGCAGGGTGAGAGAAGCTTAGAAAGAAGCATCTGTAAGAAAAAAAACTTCTTGGCTTGGCTTTTCTGAACGCCCCCTCCCCCCCAATCCAATTTTAACAGATTGTAACAGGTTAACAGAGTTGGAAGGGACCTTGGAGGTAATCTAGTCCAACCCCCCACCCAAGTGGGAGACCCTACACCATTTCTGACAAATGGCAGTCCAATCTCTTCTTGAAAGCCTCCAGGGATGAATCTCCCACAACTTCCGAAGGCAACTTCTGTTCCATTGAATATAGAATACCAGAGTCGGAAGGGACCCTGGGGGTCATCTAGTCGAATCCCCCACCCAAGCGGGAGACCCTACCTACACCATTTCTGACAGATATGAGTACAGTCTCTTCTTGAAAAGCCTCCAGGGATGATGAAGCTCCGACCATTTCTGAATAACAGAATAATAACAGAGTTGGAAGGGACCCTGGAGGTCATCTAGTCCAATCCCACCCCCACCCCCACCCCCGCCCAAGTGGGAGACCCTACCCCATTTTTGACAGATGGCAGTCTCAGTCTCTTCTTGAAAAGCTTCCAGGGATGAAACTCCCACCATTTCTGAATAACAGAATAATAACAGACTCAGAAGGGACCCTGGAGTTCATCTAGTCCAACCCCTACCCCATTTCTGACAGATAGGAGTCCAGTCTCTTCTTTAAAAACCTCAATTTATTTCTCTTTGGGAAGAAATAG